AATATCTGAAAAATATGCTAAATGATAGGGTTGTCAGAATTTCTGACACCTCTATTGCTGGCCGGAGAAAATATCTGAAAAATATGCTAAATGATAGGGGTGTCAGAATTTCTGACACCTCTATTGCTGGCCGGAGAAAATATCCGAAAAATATGCTAGATGATAGGGTTTCTGACACCTCTATTGCTGGCCGGAGAAAATATCTGAAAAATATGCTAAATGATAGAGGTGTCAGAATTTCTGACTATACGCTACAGGATTCGCGTCGGAAGCGGTATTAAATTTGACAGTTTAAGACCCCGTATACACGGTACCGGACGAATTTGGAACCGGGCTGAAATTCGTCCGTTTCAGCCGTGTAAACACGCGAGAACCACGGAACCAGGCAATTTTGAGACCCCCTAACACTAGCCCCTAACCCTAAACACTAACCCCTAGCGCATTCTCTCCGGGAAGTAACGACATTTGGGCATGTCCGTTTGACTATATTACATAAAAAATGAAGTACTACCCTACGTATGCCTGCGCATGCCTAATACCGCTGGCCAAATTTTCCTGCATTGTTGCATTGCTGCATTTGCCGAGCTAGCGAGGAAACAAGACAATTTTTATCGATTTATGTTGTATTGAAAATAATTCTGGACACAAACAATGGATTTAAAACAGATCGAAAGACCATTCAATAACTTATTCAAGGAAAAAAAGTACGGTTAACCCCAAAAATGGCGGTGTGAAAAAGGCTAATTGGCTTGGCTATTATATTTTTTCTGATTTGTAGAGATGGGATCGTCACAAATTCTGACAACCCTATCAGTTAACATTTTTTTTAGGTATTCTCTCTGACCAGCAATAGCAGTGTCAGAAATTCTGACAACCCTATCAGTTAGCATATTTTTCAGATATTTTCTCCGGCCAGCAATAGAGGTGTCAGAAATTCTGACACCCCTATCATTTAGCATATTTTTCAGATATTTTCTCCGGCCAGCAATAGAGGTGTCAGAAATTCTGACAGCTCTATCATTTAGCATTTTTTTCAGATATTTTCTCCGGCCAGCAATAGAGGTGTCAGAAATTCTGACACCCCTATCAGTTAGCATATGTTTTAGATATTTTGTATGACCAGGAATACGGGTGTCTGAAATTCTGACACCCCTATCATTTAGCAGATGTTTTAGATATTTTCTCTGACCAGGAATACAGGTGTCAGAAATTCTGACACCCCTATCAGTTGGCAATTTTTTTAGATATTCTCTCTGACCAGCAATAGAGGTGTCGGAAATTCTGACAACCCTATCAGTGAACATATATTTTAGATATTTCCTCTGGGCAGCAGTTTGTGCGAACACTATTGTTTTGTGTCTATCAGTTTGCAAAAAAATACGTTATTTTATAAAACTGGCCACCATGTCGCATGTTTTTCTTTCTTATCGAGTTTGTGCGAACACTGTTGTTTTGCGTCTACTTGTTCGCAAAAAATACGGGCTTTTGTAAAACTGGCCACAATGCCGCATATTTTTATTTTTTTATCGAGTTTGTGTGAACACTATTGTTTCGTGTCTATCAGTTCGCAAAAAATACGTTTTTTTTTATAAAACTGGGCACCATGTCGCATTTTTTTCTTTTTTAATCGAATTTTGCCGAAAATTTTAGTTTTGGAATATCTCAAAATAGTTTGGAACGCGTTTTAATGACGTGTTCCATAAAAAATTGTTGACGTAATATCCCAGCATGCATGATGCATTTGTTTTGTATCTATCTGAGAACCATTAAAATGTTGAACTCTTAGCTTTGTCAACATTAAGATGTACTTTGAATATGAACATATAAATAAATAGCTAAGCTTTTCTTTCTATGCATGCATGCATGCATGTTAGCTAGAATTTTTAAGTCAAATGCAAAAGTGTTACTTATATATGGCATAAACAGTAAGCCTAATTAGAAATATTTTTAGATATTTTCTTTGCATTCATATACAAAAGCACCACAGTCCGCCTGAGACTTCATGCTGAGTTACAGAAAATGTTAATTTGATTTCGCTTCGCTACACTGATTCATTTCGTCTTCCGCTTTCATAATGTAAATGTTTACAGCTTACCTTAAACAATTTGAAGTGATTTTACAGTCGATTAAAGAAGATGTTTCTAAAGTGTTTTCATTTTGTGGTATTGGTTGTCGTTTACCTACAATTGAAAAGTAAGTGTTTCATGGTTTACATCATACATTTTTTAACCCTGATGAGAGCGATAGAGATTAGTTCGTAACTACGGCTGCGTTTCCAATAGCTTTCCGTATAGCGACGTGAAAAACTTCTATCCGTACTTTTATGGAACGCTATTTTCAGAGGAATTATTGCAACCGAGAGATCAACTTTCGCTCAGCTTCTGAAAGGTGTACATTCCGTATCTGACAGGTGCTTTTTCTCGCCGCTACAAAAAGTTATCGGGTATGGTGCAAATGTAGCCTAAATTATGCATTGTTTGTGTCGTTTACAAAGAAGCGGATAATTTCGGAGCGTTACTTCAATTTTTATGATTCCACTTTCCGTTCATAATATAGCATGAACATAATGTTAATATGATAACCAAAGTAAAATATTTGAAAATGCTGACTTACACTGTCAAAGTTCATTGTTTATGGGACGATTTGACCGCAGTAAGCGGAAGTATAAAAGGACGCCACTTTGCGTCTTTGGTCACAGAAACATTTATACATATAAACGTTTCTTATGACCATAGTTAAGTATAAAATGTTTATACTTAACCATAGTTAAGTGTAAGCGTTTATGATAACCCACCCTTAACAATCCGGTTGATTTAACCATATAGTTAAATCAACCGGATTACTCGGATTGTTATGAGTGGATTATCATAACCAGGAATTATTGGTTAATAGTTTACTAACATAATCCGGTTAATTTAGAGTGAACAGGAGCTGCGAGGATCCTAAACTTGCTGTAACTCTTGTGAACGAATGAAATAAACACAATTTTTTGAATATTCGATCACCAAGAAAATGTCAAAACCGATATTTACGGCGATATTTACTGTAAGAGACCACCATATAATTTTTATTCAGGTACAGCTTGTTTCTTTGTGAAGCGTACGGGCTCATATGGCAAAACCAGCTCAGTATATTGTATTAACGACACAGGACAAATACAGTCCAGTGGCAGTTGGGGAAGCTTGTCTTTTCTGGAATATTCCTACAACAGCTGTTTGGATCCAACTGCTCAGTTTCGGTTTCGTGATAATGGTGCGATGCTGAATTTAAAAAGACAGGGATGTCTCGCTGCTTTTAATAAAAGTGGTTCTGGTTATAATCTTGATATGTTTTATCTTTACGTTGACTCAGTCAGTTTAGACACAGCTGCTTGTGCTCAGAAGCCTAACGAGGGTATCTATCGTGCTATAACCCAAACCCCCGAGGGAGGATTATCTGTTTACTATAAAGCGAAAGATAGGAGTTCATTTGAAACCTGGTGTGCATTGGATCGACATAGTTCCGAACTACATAAAAATTATGGAATAAATCGCTACGTTGGATTGTTCATACAATGTTATTCCTATTATACATATATTTTTGGTAAGTTTTTCTAAACATTGCCTTATGTCTGAATACTTTGTTCCGGGAAATATATATTAAATGAAATGTTTTTACAAATCAATACAATGCTTTATTTCTCTTTAACTCAATCTCTTTTCTTCTTGCTAAATCACATATTCTCGATATTCACTTACACAATAATCTACCGAATTAAAAAATTCATTAATAATTCATCAGACAAATACAAAAGAAATAAATGTTTAATCAATGTTTGTAAATCGGATAAAGATTTGTCCTGATTTACATAAACTTCAGCTTTGATTTTCTCGGATTAAACAATCTTTATTTTTAAAATTACTTCGCCGATGAAATCATAAGATGGGTCGTTTTTTAAGCACGTTAAAACAGTCGCATCCGATATTTATCTGATATACAAACTCTCGCCTTCGGCTCGAGTTTGTATATCAGGTAAAGATCGGTTGCTCATATTTGAACGAGTACATAAAAAATAATTGGTGTAAACTGCTCATGCTGTTGTTGTCCCAAATTCAAAATAAATATGAGCAGCCTTATTAAATTCTACATGCAGTACCTATAGCTTGTGATTTGTTTTTAATAATCTTACCGATATGAGCGATATTTGGGGAGAAAAATTAACTCAATTTGTATATGTAAATCAGCAGGATTTTGCATACAAGCTCTTTCGGGAATTATTGATGAGAATTACAAATACCAGCTACTGACTTGAGTACATGTTCATAAATTTATCATTTATGTAGCAATACAGGAGTTAAGTTCTTTGAATGTTTGCATGGCGATAAAATATAATTGTTTTTGTTTGTGGAAACACCACGTAAATTTATTACTGCAAAGCTTTCGATCCGTAAGCCCGGATCTTCATCAGTGCTAATAATATGTGACTTGTTTAATTCACACGCTCCTTTTATATACAAGAGTGTCGTGATCTGTTGGCTCGCGTCATTTGAAATTTAATTAAACGGCACATCAACCACGTCATTTCAAACGTAATGAAGTGATTCCAATTAACGCGTGCGCATCCAAGACAAGAGAAATTAATTTTGCACATTAAAGAGAGCACGCCACGTACTATCTAGTGGCTTTCCCTCCTGATCTATAGTATTGTGTTTCTCAATTTCAATTGACTCTCTCATTTTGCGAGAGAACTTGTGACTATCAATCGCCAGAATGGTTGCTTCGTCCCATTTTATACGATGGTCGTAAGTCCAAGTATGTTTAGCCACAGCAGATTTATCTTGCTCGGCTTTCTCGCAATTCGTCTTGTGTTCCTTAAGACGTACTGAGAGATTTCGACCAGTTTCCCCAATGTAAACCAGACCACATTCACAAGGAATGCGGTACACACCAGGTTTCTGATATTCATTTACGTTGTCCTTATGTGTGCATAGAGCTCGAAACAATTTGTTTTCGCTAGAATAGACCTTATTCATAAATCGTGATGAGGCCTCGTATCCTAGGATACGGGAACAAAACGCGGGAAAACAAGCGAAAACTGCTTGACAAGCCAAATTCAGATGCTATTGTGTCGACTTTAACGGCTTGTTTCTTGTTGCTTTTTGCGATTTATGACGATTTTTGTGTGTATTTTAAGACTTTGTTCCCACAACGAAAGCGGTAAACGAGTATATTATAAAAGCGACCAGTTTTTCTCCCATTTTTGTGTGGAAAAAATGACAACGTAGCGATGGTGTTTATCCAGAAGCGAAAAACAGTATTTTACTGAGATTTTAACGTCACTATAAAGGTTATTCCGTGAACAATCAATACAACTATGGAATGAAAGTATAACTTTTCGAATTTAACATAAATATGAAAGAAAATAACAGTCAAAAATCACAAGAGAACGTCAAATGTTATTATCATTCACTTTATGGTGTTCTCAATTTTGATTGGTTAATTTACCTGCAAATAACTGCGTGCAAATAATAGTCTGAGCATGCGCATTTGTTAAAAACGTTGCCCAGCTACAAATAATAGTCTGAGCATGCGCATTGCCTTCAATTTTGGCGGTTCGCTTTGCTGAACTTTCGGAAAATGAGTTGTCTTGCTTATTTAAAAATAAAAAAGCAACTAAAACCGCCGTCAATGTCTTTCGCCAGCATTTAGAAGCAAGACTAAATCAACAAAGAAGATTTAGTTGGCTTAAAACTACAAAAGAAACTCTTGCCAACGTCCTTCGCAAGTTTAATGTAGAAGCAAGAAAGAGAGACGGCGAATTTATATTGAACGAAAGATAAAATGAAGTGAATGATAAAACAATTATTGAACTCGGTTCTCGCAAAATATCGTGATTTGTCGGTGGCTCGCAGATCAATTATTTGCCTCTGCCTTCGGCATCGGCAAATAATTGATATGCTCGCCACCGACAAATCACGATATTTTGCTCAACCTCGTCCAATAATTGATAATTGATTCGTACGGAAAAATATGAACTAATGACTGTGGCTCGATAACATTCTGCAAGCAGCTTACAAGTTTAAAAAATAAAGGCTACATTACCTGAGTGAGTTGTAATCTTATTTCTTCAACAATTGTTTCATATTTCTTACGATTTTGGTGTTGTATAGACGTTTTGTAGCCTTGTTGGTTGGTTGTTTGTTTCGGCCATACAAACTACGACAATAATACAAAGTAAAAGTTTCCTTTTTCGATTGACTCCAGCATCTTTTGCTTTAAATATCATGTTATATTTTCTCAGAAGTATTTTTTTCAACTTTCAAGCTCAGTTTTAT